AACAAAAGTAATGTAACTAATTATCTTTATTGTGGGTAACTGTAACATTATTGCCTGACAGCTGTTTAAGACTCAGGTTTAGATTTAGAGTAACTGGCTTTGGTAACAGGATGTTAGTGAGGGTCCTCAGTAGTATAGTAGTATAAATGTGTTTCTGATATCGTTTCACTCTGTTCTCCTCCTCTTCTTCATCACCTCCTTCCTCTATTTCCTTATTTCTCTCCTTTAATCGTCCTTCCCTTATCTCTTTTCATTCTCACTGCTACCGTCTTCCCTCCCTCCCTCATCCTGCCTTATATCTATCTCATATTTTTTACAATATCCTCTCTCCTACTCCTCCCATCCCCTATTTTTATTCTCTCCTTTCTTTTGACAACTCAATTTCTCCTTTCTACTATTACTTCCTTCTTTCTCATTTTTCTCTTGTCCCATCCATCCTCTTCCTCCCTCCTTCCCCTGCAATTGTTTCTCCTCCCTTCTGCCTTCCTCCCATCTCTTCCCACTCCTCCCTCTTTACAGTTTTTCTCTCTCTCCATATCCCATCTTTCCATCACCTTTCCTCCTTTCTCCTCATTTCCTTCATCTCCTTTTGTTCCTTCTTTCCGCCCTTGTGTCCTCCCCTAATTCCTTCCATTAAACCCTTTCAATTCCTTCCTCCCATACCTCCTCTCTCCTTCTTCTTCCTCCTTTCCTCCTGGTTTGTCTCTCACTCTCTGTCTCTTTTCTGTTTGTGTGTTTTCTGACAGGACGGCCATACATGGACATGGAGTAAGGACGGTTGGACGCCTCCTCCTCGCTCTCCAGCGTAAAAGCCGCTGTCTCTCCACCACCAACTAATGCCCCCAACCCAGAGAGAGAGAGAGAGAGTAAAACACAGAGACAGATAAAGGAAAATTAGAGAGGGCAAAACAGCAAGCAAAAGCAAAACGAGAAATAGAAAGAGAGGAAGAGAGGGAGGCTGCACATCCATAATCTCCACAGCGGAGAAACACTTAGAGGGAGGGGAGGCAACACGGGCGATTCTGTCTATCTTGCAACTTCAAGAACCATCATCACAATTTAATAAGAATTTGAAAGGCTGCGGCGCTGCAACAAATCAGTCTACAGAGGGAGAGAGGGCAGTCGAGAGAGGTAGACACAGACAGAGAGAAAGAGAGAGAGAGGGAAGCTGCAGCGAGGTGGAGGCCAGACACCAGCGCTTTAACGCTTTCCTACCTGGATTTATATCTTTTTGTCCCAGCAGCAATAAATAAACCTGTGACGGCAATATCAGGGAATAACTTCATTATTATTTTACACATATTTTAAGACGGCTGAGAGTTCAAGAAATTATGTTTTTCTACCAGGAGAGTTCTGCAGAAGAACATCTTGTTATTTAGAGGACTTACACAAGTTCTTCAGGAAAAAAACAACAAAAAAGGGATTCTTCCAGCTGTAATTCCTGAGAGTTTTTCTGGGTTTTTATGAAAAAAAAGTCACTTTCCCCTGAGGGTGGTTCTACAAACTAGGAAGAGCTCCGCTTTTATTTTGGAGGGCAACAGGAAGGCGGCATCCACCAGAAGGACGTCAGAAACTAAAATAAAAGACGGGCCACACACCTGTCAGATGCAGCGGTTTTCCCGCTCCTTTAAGGCGTTTTTTTCATGGCTTGACACCTAACTGCCATCTGACCCCTCCCCCAGACCCCCCCTTCCTCCCCTCTCAACATGGCCGACCACTTCCTCTCTCGCTGCCAGCCAGGGCAGGAAAAGAAGTGAAAGAGGATTTAGTTAAGGCACTTACCTCGGATCCATTAGCTCCATCCTCCTCCTCTTCCAACAGAACTCGACTTTCTGCGGGTTGGGACGCACTGATGCAAGATGGCGGCCGGTGTGGCGACGTGGCTGCCGTTTGCGCGGGCTGCGGCGGTGGGATGGCTGCCGCTGGCCAAGAAGACGATGCCCAAACCTCCTGTGGACAACTCGTCCAAATCAGATGAGATCCTGTATGTCAACGTCAGCGGGGTCAGGTTTCAGGTGAGTCTACTGAGCATGCCCCAAAATACAGAATGTGATCATGTGAGCTCATCCCGTTGCTAAGCCAATCAAACGTTAGCTGCGGCGGCTACATTAGCAGTTAGTGGAGTTGAGGGAAAACCAGTGTCGCTGAAAGTTGAAAATTGATTGAAAGTCACGATATTATTGGTTAAAATCAGTTAGTTCATGCTGACCTAAGCACGCGTCACATTTTGTTTTACAGGAAGACACGATTGGATTTTATATAAAAATACAAAGAAATTGAGTTTTTGTACATTGTTAAAAAGTGGAACTATATAACTAAAGATGTGATCTTAAAGGGTTGAAATTAAATTTTTCATTCGACCTGGACTTTAAATGTTTATTGTTAAAACATGCTGGACCCTGTATGCTGCAGAACATTTACAACTAGCAGCTTTCTTCCTCTAAAATGCTCTTACACAAGGTTGAAGGCACTTTTCCTTACATTAATGTAATTCTTTTACATTTACATTAACTCCAGCCGTCTGCCTTTGATGTCAGGAACCTCTTTTATGTCGTATTTCGACAAATTGAATAAACACAAAGTCTTTATTTTATTTTATTGGATTAACTAGGCTGGGTACATTTCTGTTCAACCAAAGCTGTTAATGGAAAAGCCAATTGCTCACAACACGAGTTTCATCATCAGCTTCTTTATCTTTCTCAGTTGTTATTTTACAGAACAAGTAGTCCTACATTAAAGCTTTACAAAGGGATGTTGAGTACAGATGATGTTTTGGGGCGTTTCTTTATGTAATAAACCCTATTTGTACATTGGCTTGTGGGGTACTGAAGCCTCATGTTTGGCATTACCATTAACTAGTTAGTCAGCTGTTTAAACGATTGATGTAGATTAACCAGAAAAGGGGTGGGGCTTAGGAATGGTCAATGATGTGTGTGGTAATGTGTGACGTCACGATAGCTTCACACTTAAACTAATTATAGCGTTTTGTTAACATTAACGATCAGATATAATCAGCTATCTAACAATTAGTGTAGATTAGCTAACATTAGCTAACTTTTTTTTTCATTAGCTACTAGACTATATTTGACTCCTCAAAATGTGGTTGTCTTTTCAACATAGATTAGCCTGGCATATAGCATATCTAAGTACAGGAAAGGAGGTAGTTGACCGAGGCTTGCTCCACTGTGATTGGAGCGCATAGCAAAAAGGGGCGGGGCTTAGGAATGGTCAGTTAGGCACAGGTGTTGATCAATCCTGACTTTCTTATATATGCAGGTTGTCACACAGGTCAGTTTGGTGTATGGTTCTAAATACTACGTTACCCATAATCCTAAACAGCTATTCCAGCCAGAGCCACTGTTTTACTGCATCATATTTAGAGCAATTTGTTTCTTTCACATTTACAAATGTTCATGTTCATGAATTTACCCAACAAAAAACAACCTCTAACTTCAGCCACAATGGCAACAGAACCTGGAGCTTTCTGATTGAATGTTTGTTACAGCAATGCTCTCTGGGACTTGTAGTTGTTATAAACAGTCTTAAACTCACATGTTTAAAAATGTCCAGAACTGTTCTCAGAGATTTGTGCTCCAGTTCTGCTCCTACATCCAAGGCTGAAAGTTGTAAATACTGTGCGTCTAATCAGCTCATTGATGTGCATCTGGGCTGAAATAATAACAAAATGGCTCCACAATAAAAATAGATCTCAGTGGCTTTCAGGAATCAAGCAGCACCAGAGTACTTTCTGCTGCGGCGGCAGAACAAGAAGAAAGTTCACGTCGAGCCAATGACTTTGTCCTAATTTTTAAAAACAAAATGCAGCAGCTCGAAGTCCCAGGGATAAATATAGAAATATAAACATACAGTAATGCTGGCAAAATAATAACCCCAGCTTCACTTTAACCATCAGTGACGGTCCAATGCTCCCATCTTACTCCACATCAACTCCCTCAAATGGAAATTTATTTCTAACAGTGTGCAGGGTCGAGTCTGTATGATCGGTTTTAAAGTGGTTAAAGTCAAGAGAATGTGAGTTTATTCACTTGTAAGATTGTGTTTCTGCAGTTTTATAAAAATTACATTGAAAACAAAATAAATGTTTGCGAAGAAATCAATATATTTTTACATGTTAGAATATTCTAAATACCAAAAGGAAGAAATTTACCTCAATAGAGGAGTTTTCCAGTTGTTGGTAAAAGCTGATGATGACTCAGCAGATGCTAATAACGACACTAAAAGTAACATGGGAATCATTGCTAGCAAGCTACGCTAAATAGCTTCTATTGTCAGACTGGAAAACAAACTTGTCAAATACTGCAGTTAGCAACAATAAATAACAATGTGAAAGATTAAAGATTAAAAGTCTTTGCTTCACATTTCTGGCAGCTAGAAGACTTTTACTGTGAAGCAGCTGCAGGTACATCAGCTAGCCCGGGATGCTACTGTTTTACATCAAAATGTACTTAAAATACTAAAAGTAAAAAAAAATTTTTACAGAATGTTCCATTCCTGTAATAATACATTTTATACTATTGGATGATTATAATTATTTATGCATTATATTATAATTATAAGTGATTTGCTTGGTAGTTTTACTGATTGTGATATGTAATTTACTTGATGTATATTTTGTATTAATAATTGGAATCTGCAAAGCTGTAAATGTAAAGCAGAAAAAAGTACAATATTTCCCTCTGAAATGTATTAAAATGTTGCATAAAATAGAAATACCTTGAACATACCTTGAAACAGTGATGAACTCAGCAGCAGCAGTATCAGATTCTCAACATCTTTTCTATCCCATTTCCTTTCTGCAGACATGGAAGAACACTTTGGATCGTTATCCGGAGACGCTGCTGGGCTCTTCAGAGAAGGAGTTTTTCTACAACGAGGACACGCAGGAATACTTCTTCGACCGAGACCCCGAAATGTTCCGGCACATTTTGAACTTTTACCGCACCGGGAAGCTGCACTACCCCCGCCACGAGTGCATCCAGGCCTTCGACGAAGAGCTGGCCTTCTACGGAATCGTGCCGGAGATCATCGGAGACTGCTGCATGGAGGTAAACCGAACAAAAGCAATAACAAGGAACGTTTATTTTGTGTTGATTCTGTCGGCCCCTGTGGACAAAATCAGTAGTGTTTCTACTTTCTACTTGATTGATTATGAACAAATAAAGATGCTGTTCGTGTTGTTAGACGAAGAGAGAGATCACTAATTGATTGATGGTTGATGATAACCTGATACATGAGGCCTTCAGAGGTTTTATTGGAGATTGTTTCCACCGCTGGCTGGATTCACTTTGTGATGGGATCCACAGAACGTAGCTGTTTTATAATGTGATTGATTAACAGCATCCTACTTACACTATTTTCTGTTTAACGCCGGTTTATGGCTGGGAACAGGATTAAAACATTTCAGGAGGCAAAAAATTAAATCAGACAATTAAAATCAAAGTGAAGTATAATAAATACATTCATTGCTATTATATGATGGGAACAATACTATTAATACAATATGAGACAGTAAACAGCATGCTGGAATAAATAAAAGGTTTGTTTTTAAGAGATGTTTTAAGAAGTGATTTAAAGGAGAAAGAAAAATACTTTTACTGTGAGAAAGCTGCAGCCACATGTGTGGACTTCCTTCAGCTGGGGTGATACTGTTAGTAAAACTAATTTTAAATAATAAACTGTAACCTGTGTCGTCTGTGGACACTGGGACTTCTATGGTCTCGTCCTGGTTGCCTCTAATGTTGCTGCAGAGCTCGTTAAGTCTCTTGGAGAAGAGCATCATCAGCTAAATGACTCGAGTGTCAAAGCGCGGATGGATCTGAGGGGGATTACTAGCTAAACTCCGTTATAAAACTGGAGCTCATTAAGACGTCGTTGACGAGCCCTCTGAAACACCGGCAGCTCAGTCTGATTTGGATCTTTTATTGCTGCCGATTTTGGCGAGCGCCGTACCTTCCTGCGAGTGATGTCTTTAAATAACAAATCACCCTCAGAGCTGATATTTATATTCATCATATGTCTTCAGAGGCTTTTTCGTCCGGTGACTCATGAATGTGTAATTGTTCTTGATTTCCTCAGATTTGGCAGACTCCATCATGTTCACAAATGTTGATTCAACTGCGAGAGATATTCTAATTCCTGGATTTCTACTCGCTCGACACTTCCCCCACAGTTCCCCACGAGAAACAGTCCACGTGATTTTTATTTTTATTCATCGAGTAATTTCACATATTCTGCTGCAGTGACTTACAGCATGTGGCTTGTTGACAATGGTTCTTCAGTCACTGTGGATGTTTAATCTATTAAAACTTAGCTTGTGGTCTTCTTACAGCTAAGAGGTGGGTCTCAGAACCAGGTCTGTTTGGAAGTGGGGATGTCCCAAGTGTAGGTTAAAATTTGGCCATTTTGAAAGGGATCCTTTAACCTCTGACCTCAAAATATCGAAACGAAAATAGGTTCTATGTATACCAACAAGTCAAAAATGTCTGGACACGCCACTGCACCGAGAGCAGATCGCACTGACAGGTAGTCCGACACAGAAACGTAAATTTTCTAGATAAAATACAGACTACAGATCGAACTTCATACTACATCAAAAAAGCGTAAAACAATAAACAGAATTTAAACACACAAAAAGAAGCCATTGAACTGCTGACCCATGGTAAAAGGACAAAAGTTAAAAAAAAACGTTTTATGTATTCCTAATCTTCGCTCGCTAACTTGCTAACAGGAAAAGCAGCTTAAAAGGACAAAATTGGTTAAAGATACATTAAGCTTTTCGTGTTAGCTTTAGCCTCAGTCTGTTGAGCTTCAGCATGATATCATAATCTGGGACCGTTGTTGACACACGATTGACGAACGCTGAACAGGAAAAAGAGGCCTAATCTCGTCTTCTTCTTCTCTCTCTTTGTGCAGGAATACCGAGACAGGAAAAAGGAAAACCAGGAGCGTCTGGCTGAGGACACGGAGGCCAACGAGGGGATGGACGCCCCCCTCCCTCCGCACAGCACCTCCAGGGAGCGTCTGTGGCGAGCCTTCGAGAACCCCCACACCTCCACCATGGCGCTGGTTTTCTACTACGTCACTGGCTTCTTCATCGCCGTCTCCGTCATCGCCAACGTGGTGGAAACGGTCCCCTGCCGGCCGCGCAAAGGCAGCGTCAAAGACCTTCCCTGCGGGGAGAAATACCAGCTGGCCTTCTTCTGCATGGACACGGCGTGCGTGCTCATCTTCACCTTCGAGTACCTGATGCGTCTGTTCGCCGCGCCGAGCCGCTGCAAGTTCATGCGCTCGGTGATGTCGGTGATCGACGTGGTGGCCATCATGCCCTACTACATCGGCCTGGTGATGCCCGAGAACGAGGACGTGAGCGGCGCCTTCGTCACCCTCCGTGTTTTCCGCGTCTTCCGGATCTTCAAGTTCTCTCGCCACTCGCAGGGTTTGAGGATTTTGGGCTACACGCTCAAGAGCTGCGCCTCCGAGCTCGGCTTCCTGCTCTTCTCCCTCACCATGGCCATCATCATCTTCGCTACCGTCATGTTCTACGCCGAGAAGGGCACCGCGGGCTCCACCTTCACCTCCATCCCGGCCTCCTTCTGGTACACCATCGTCACCATGACAACGCTCGGGTGAGTTAATAGGAGTGCGACGCCGTGTGTTCGCCGACTGCTATGATTGTGATTGTGTGTAAACAGATTTTATTTTGCCACTGGTCGCTGTTAATGTCGTCGCCGTGGCAACACGAATGTACCCTCTTCGCTGGGTTCTCGGCTGTAATCGGTTAGCTTTAGCTCCTTCTGGTGCACCATCGTCACCATGACAACACTCGGGTGAGATAAGTGCGATGCTGTGTGTTTGCCGACTAGCTGTGATATCTGACATTAAACAGATTTTATCCTGCCGCCAATGAGAGCGGTTGCTGTTAATACCGTCGCCGTGGCAACGCGAACGTTGCCCTCTTCTCTGGGTTCTCGGCTCTAATCGCCCTGCTGTGCGCCGGGAACGTTGGATGTGTCGTTATTAACGGTCACAGAGGAGAGTTTTACAGTCTGTTTCCACCATGAAGAGAGATGAAGTGTGAAAAAGCCAAACTGTGTGTGTGTGTGTGTGTGTGTGTGCCTCCCACTCGTTGCTTCTAGAGTATGGCGGTGTATCTTCACCCCGCTGCCGCCCACACACACACTCACACACTGCTGCTATGTGGATGCAGAGTGTGTGTGTGTGTGTGTGTGTGAGAGAGGATGATGGTGCCTTCACCCTGCAGCTCTCCAGCTCTGATCTATTATCTGCTGTTCAAAGAGCCTTTGGAAACATCAGAAATAGAGAGTGAGTCAGGAATCTGCCATAAGCTGCGACCATACTGCTCTCCAGCTCTCTCTCTATACGACTCTATACTCCTACCTGTCTGTGAATGGAGAGATAAAGTGTGAGTTCAAAAGGTGTGAATGGGAAAGTGTGAACTGCAGTGAATGAGTCAAACAGCTCCGCACTGTAGTAAAGCAGCAGTGGTGTTAAACTGTATGGAGCCGTGAAGGTTTTTAGTCAATGAAAACTGTGTTTATGTTCAGTAAAGTGCAGAAAAACGTAAAAAGATGTGTCTGAAATGTGCGTGATAGCACAACCTGGGACCTGTTAGCTCTAGCATCAGTCTGTTAGCTGTCATACATTGACTGTTGATCCAGTCTGAAGCCACATGTTTACCATCCACTGTTTAGATCTTGGTGCTTTTTAACTCTAGATT